ACCGAGAGAGATCAACTAAAATGCAAGAGAAGAGCTAAATGTGTCAAGATAATGTAGACATACGAGAGTGCCAAGTAACAAACATTGCATAACAGATACGTGCGAATATACCTACATATATCTGCGCTATTCACTTAATATTCAAAAAAATATATAAAAGCAACCTTTAATGTCAAAGATAAAAAATCTTTCAATAGATGAATGAGAAGAATTACCTGGTTTACAAATGTTGAAATGAAAAAAAAAAAGAAGGACAACACAGGCCAGGGAGGGAACGAAAGGGAAAATAAGAGCGGGTGGTCGAGGGATCGGGTGAAACAGTGATCTATTAATTGCGCGTGATCTTAATGATCTCCCGCGTGACCACCCCGAAGCAACCATGTGAGAAGAATCTAAAAAAAGTAATCAGACCCCATTCCTACTCGCGGTACTTCACGATTCACTCCATTTGAAACAACGGCATGCCACCCAAAGCTCGTCGGGTCGGGTCCGTGTGGCGGGTCAGGCCAATCCCTGCACCCCCTAATGGTTTCAACATTAATAGAAAGCGAAGAGAGCACTATTCACCAGCTATTATATTTTATTCTCTTTGTTGAACAATAGCTTATTATTGTCCAGAAAAAATTTCAAAATATAGTCATCGATAGTACATCAGTGTTGCTGGGAGTGCGAGAGTTTTGCCGAAATGATTTTGAGGCCAAGCATCAAAATACCATGTATAGTGTACGTGAAGAGGTATATATATCATCAAAGTGAGAGGTAATTATAAACTGACATACAAACTATGGCTTTGGGTTGTAAGTCCAGTGCTTACATAGAATGCATTCAGGTTCCCATATGAAAAGTGGGTAGGGGACCCCTAATGAAGTTGTCGGAAGCTCTGAGTAAGACATGGAATTCATATTTTGGGATTGGGCAATGCGCTATGGTGTGGCCTGAGTTGCTAGGTTGTGGCCTGCTGCGCTACAGAGGCGAGCTTTAACACTAAATTGCTTTCCTAAGAGACGTGAAGAGTGATGAAAGCAACTGTAAGAGAATGTTGGCAGTTAATATGATCAGTAGCTTAGGAGATGTACAAGAGTTAAAATGTGGGGTAAATAAAGAATTGAAAGGTTATGTAGGTTTTAACAGATGGTGCTTAATTGATAGTATTAGAATAGACAGGTGGAACTACAGTTGGTCTTTTTGTTGCTTTGCTCCTACCCTTGTGGGGCTGTGCAAGGGGAGGAGATGATATCTAGGTGAGTTTCATCATTGTAATTCCTCCTTAGCTTTTTGCGGGCTATCTCATGCAAACTTTTGTATTCAGTTGCTATTTTGGGGGTCGAGGTTTGTGTTCAAGAATCCCATTTTTTTATTGTGAATATGAACATCTTTCTTGAGGCCCTTTATGAGTGCTGCTTGTATGTTTCTGACATGGGTTTAAGTCTAACGGTTTCGATCTGGCTCGCTAACCGTTCGCTCTCTTATGCATAGCTGTGTTAGGTCCTGGGTATGTCCCTTGTATTCTTGTATTTCCTTTTTTTGTTTCATGACTTTAGTTCACCCAAAAAAAAAAAAAAACAAAGTCCTAGACTAGGTGAGTCACATTCGTCCCTCTGTCTTGCTCATTAAAATGGAAACGGAATGAAACAAATCATGAAATTTTTTTTATTGATTCAAGGCAAAGAATAGCAAAATTCAAACAAGACAAAAAAAAAACTTACCTTTCACTTGGTCTTTGCTTGGTGCTGGAAATGTTTTTTTTTATAAGTTGTATAAATATTTAATCATTACACAACTTATCTCTAAGTGAACATGAGTAGCTAAATGTCTCTTTTAGAAATAATTTCTGTCTTATTGTTGGCGAGAATATGACCATCAATCCAAAAGTGTCAAAGAGAAGCGATTTAAAAATCCTAATGATGTCGGCTATTGGGTAGTGCAGACGGACTCTTCAATTAACCCAATATGTCATTCAACCATCTCATAACTCCATCCTCGTACGCTACGTGCAGTTACGTGTGTTAATGCCATAGATGGATTCGACAAAAGACTTCTAATGCTCAACACAAAAGCACAAATACATCATCTATATGTAAAAATATTGCATCACCAAATACATCATCTTGTAGACAAATATCAGATTAAATGAAATCGAAAAAGATTAATTACATACTAATGAGAGTATAGATATGTATTCGGTGCAATCTAATGAAAATTAAAGTTTTGAGAATTTGCAATTCACTTAGTCTCGTGTTCTATTTAATCTGATAGTTGCTGGCCTCATTCTTGTCAGAGACATAGAGGGATTAGACCCTAAAATGAGGTTCCTTTTCATGAAAGCATTGGCATCCATTTTAGAAAGACCAATGCCATAAGTGCATTGCAAGTCCCCCTATTCTATC